ACACACACACACACACACACACACACACACACACACACACACACACACACACACACACACACACACACACACACACACACACACACACACACACACACACACACACACACACACACACACACACACACACACACACACACACACACACACACACACACACACACACACACACACACACACACACACACACACACACACACACACACACACACACACACACACACACACACACACACACACACACACACACACACACACACACACACACACACACACACACACACACACACACACACACACACACACACACTGATGCGCATACATCATTGATAGCAGACAAACAAATCATAACATACCACAGTCATTTTTGCCAATATGAACTAGGTTATTATGCAAATTCCTTTCACGTATATAGCATTAAGCATACTGATAAGTAACGCTAAACACCAACAGGTAGGGCTGAATTAGCATAGAGTCAGACCCTCATGTGAGCTCCAACTAGATCTTCAGGAGCTGGGCACAGAAGCAAGCGAGAGAGAGGGTGAATGAGAGACGTGAGACAGCCGCTACCCTCCAATTTGAACTATTATAAAACGTGTTAACTTATAATGGCGGTGTTTATCACAGCCCGGCGCCGGGATGTATGGTGCGCTGTCTACGTTCCTGCCTCCAAGCACATCTGGCATGGGAATTACACATGATGGGATCTGTAATTTGAATATCGCAGTTGCCGGGATAAGCATCGAGAAGCAGGTACTGGAAGACGAGGCGGAAGGTGTGTTCAAGGCTGCTAGTTAAGAATGGAGGCTGGGCAGCACAAACGGGAGATAGTGAGCGTGTTAATGTGGATAAGATTAACCAAAGAGAGAATGGTAGAACAGGGAAGAACCGTAGAGACAAAGACTTGAGGGAACATTAGATCAAAATACCACAAGTCATAATGGGTAAACTGTATATATTTACTTTACCCTGAAGGATTTGTCCACAATCACCCAATAATAATCATTCCATTCTTGTCTTACATGCTTAAAGTACTTTCTCACTTAACTAACAAAATCTATAGATAGATTAGATAAGTAGTTAAGGTAACCATGTTAAGCACTCACCAACTGTTAACCTACGATGGTGGTGTGAAGACGAATAAAGTAGAGAGGTGAAGAGGAGGAAGGAAGGAAGGGGGAGTACACTTGCCACTGAGTACAAGACTGTAATCAAGGGGATACACTTACCTGCCGCACTTTTATAATGCCTACTAATCACATTCGTATAAATAATTAACTTCAAAATATATTACATATTTTTATTTAACTAACGTGGAGTGCAGTAAAGTTATCATCACTAGGAGACAATATCATTTCATAAATTTAAATTAACCACTAGAGTCAAAAATAAGCTCCGGAGGATGTAGCGTCACCTGAGGAGAATAGGTTCTTAAGAGAAATGTTTCCAAGAACGACTTTCCTTAGTGACACTAAATTTGTTTCCGCCCCCTCCCAGGTCTGACTGGTTCTGCCACGTCTACAAGCAGCCTGACCCTAAACACGTGCATGGCGATTTGTTACGCATCCTCGTTCCCTCTGAAACCTGTTTTACACTAAAACCAATTCCTGAAGGACGGATTTTACCATTTTATAACACATATCATAGATAATTACAATAAAATAAATTTACACATCATGTATAATAAAATAAGTGTTGGGTGTAACCACGAGTTTGCATAGATTTATATCAACATGAAAAGGTACCGATAATAATTATTACCCAGACGTAAGACAATGGGTGTTGGCGAGAAGACCGGTGATGTCACACCCTCACCTTCGCCCTCCCACACCAACAAAACCTCTCACTACAATTCCTGGACGACCCACACCACCCCAGCTCCAGAAGGACCCACACCGCCCACCCCAGCTCCAGAAGGACCCACACCGCCCACCCCAGTTACTGCTGATTTCACCCCCCCCCCCTGTGTGTGGTGCTACTTCATCATAATCTACCATTTCCATCACTACCCAAGACGTGACAGTAAAAAAAAGTCTTATGAAACTATAGTTCTCCTGTTTCGTCAATTTACATGAACATATTTTCTATATTCACTTATCTATATTTTACTCTTCCAGGCCTTCTTAACTGTTTCAAGTCCGGAAACAAGATTAAATATTAATCTTTCCTTCATCCGTAATCATTCCTTCATCCATACAGCTCAACCAAATATGTTCTGCTACGGGACTCCCAATTCAAAAGGTCCCGAATTTTGTTTATTCCTTTCAATTCACAAAACAGCACGTCTTTCCTCAATGATCACTCACATCTGGCGGCAGTCAACCTCTCACCTGGCAAACATCTCTCCTTCCTCACTTAACTGCAGCTCCCCAATAGCATTTACTAAGACACATAAAAGAATACCGACTCCTCTTCTTTTTCTACAGGGTGCAAGGAAGGTTCAGAATCTATATAAATCATAGCGTTGTGAGAGAGAGAGAGAGAGAGAGAGAGAGAGAGAGAGAGAGAGAGAGAGAACAATCGTGCGTCAACCTATAATTATACTTGGATTATCATATAAAACAATATGTATTCCCAAGGGTCTGAGAAGAAAACCACACAAGGATCTAACCCATCACTTGTGAAATGATCTGATGAAAGCGACATAACGCAGGTGATAATTCTCCCTAATTAACTAATTATACATAATGGTTGAGAAACAAGGGTCTAGTGTGCAGGTACTTTTTACACGCCTGGGGACCACCACAGTCGCCTGCCGCTCCCCCAACATACAAAGCTGTCTTGAGAATATGACAGTGTTTGAAGCTCTCCGTCCATCTTAGTGCCCAGAAAACATTGGCTTACTACAGTCTCATCTATTTTATATATATATTTTTAAAGAATAATTGAGTACATGGAGGAATAATGTGCGTCAAGAGGGAGTTACTGTTTACGTCTTCCTTTCACGTTTATTGAACAGATGGGTGATTACTGCACGACTTGGTGGCCACAGGTCCATTCTTACACGAAACATACACATATGATCGCTTCGTAAATGAACCCATAAGCCGTTTCGTACACAAGGCAACTAAAATGTTCATGATAATAAACTGACGTAAACCCAACTCACCTCATCCACACTTAACTACATTATAGATATGTATTAGTAGATAACATTAAAATAAATACAATCTTATGTACGAAACACCGATTAATAAGACTTTTGTGATGCTCTTGTACGGATCTTGGTGTATGAGAAACAGCCAACAGCCGCCTTATTTACCTCTCCCCTGTAATGGGCTCCGCTCAGTAACACTTCAATGTTTATTTTTCTAATGTTGTTGTTTTAACGTTTTAGGGTGATTTAACGGCTTAAGTCTTTAGTCATCGTTCACTAAGTTTCAGTTTCAACACAAGAGACCGACTTTTGACGGCTAAGAGAGATATTGTGTCCAAGATATTTATTAGTCCTTAGTATCAACCCACATCAGGTATTATTTTTGTATATCTACACAACACAAACAATGGTTTAAAAGAGTTTCAATTATTTTTATTTTATATTTTCGGGGCATATATTATCGAAGTTTCAGGATAATATGCCCATAAAGCCAACTTATAACAATGATTATAAATAATTTTGAATGCAAATGTGTAAGTAAATTTATTACTCGTTTTGTATATTGCACACACCATTACTAGTTGCACAAGGAATCATTTAAGATGTTGAAGATGTGGCTAATGTGAGCCTAAGAACTGTACTTTACATCGCCGTGAGCAAGACATGTATCAGTGTGAGCCTAAGAACTGTACTTTACATCGCCGTGAGCAAGACATGTATCAGTGTGAGCCTAAGAACTGTACTTTACATCGCTGTGAGCAAGACATGTATCAGTGTGAGCCTAAGAACTGTACTTTACATCGCCGTGAGCAAGACATGTATCAGTGTGAGCCTAAGAACTGTACTTTACATCGCCGTGAGCAAGACATGTATCAGTGTGAGCCTAAGAACTGTACTTTACATCGCTGTGAGCAAGACATGTATCAGTGTGAGCCTAAGAACTGTACTTTACATCGCCGTGAGCAAGAATGTATCAGTGTGAGCCTAAGAACTGTACTTTACATCTTGTGAGCAAGACATGTATCAGTGTGAGCCTAAGAACTGTACTTTACATCGCCGTGAGCAAGACATGTATCAGTGTGAGCCTAAGAACTGTACTTTACATCGCCGTGAGCAAGACATGTATCAGTGTGAGCCTAAGAACTGCTTTACATCGCCGTGAGCAAGACATGTATCAGTGTGAGCCTAAGAACTGTACAAGACATGTATCAGTGTGAGCCTAAGAACTGTACTTTACATCGCCGTGAGCAAGACATGTATCAGTGTGAGCCTAAGAACTGTACTTTACATCGCTGTGAGCAAGACATGTATCAGTGTGAGCCTAAGAACTGTACTTTACATCGCTGTGAGCAAGACATGTATCAGTGTGAGCCTAAGAACTGTACTTTACATCGCCGTGAGCAAGACATGTATCAGTGTGAGCCTAAGAACTGTACTTTACATCGCTGTGAGCAAGACATGTATCAGTGTGAGCCTAAGAACTGTACTTTACATCGCTGTGAGCAAGACATGTATCAGTGTGAGCCTAAGAACTGTACTTTACATCGCTGTGAGCAAGACATATATCAGTGTGAGCCTAAGAACTGTACTTTACATCGCTGTGAGCAAGACATGTATCAGTGTGAGCCTAAGAACTGTACTTTACATCGCCGTGAGCAAGACATGATCAGTGTGAGCAAGAACTGTATTTTCATCGCCGTGATGTATCAGTGTGAGCCTAAGAACTGTACTTTACATCGCTGTGAGCAAGACATGTATCAGTGTGAGCCTAAGAACTGTACTTTACATCGCCGTGAGCAAGACATGTATCAGTGTGAGCCTAAGAACTGTACTTTACATCGCCGTGAGCAAGACATGTATCAGTGTGAGCCTAAGAACTGTACTTTATCGCCGTGAGCAAGACATGTATCAGTGTGAGCCTAAGAACTGTACTTTACATCGCTGTGAGCAAGACATGTATCAGTGTGAGCCTAAGAACTGTACTTTACATCGCTGTGAGCAAGACATGTATCAGTGTGAGCCTAAGAACTGTACTTTACATCGCTGTGAGCAAGACATGTATCAGTGTGAGCCTAAGAACTGTACTTTACATCGCTGTGAGCAAGACATGTATCAGTGTGAGAACTGTACTTTACATCGCTGTGAGCAAGACATGTATCAGTGTGAGCCTAAGAACTGTACTTTACATCGCTGTGAGCAAGACATGTATCAGTGTGAGCCTAAGAACTGTACTTTACATCGCTGTGAGCAAGACATGTATCAGTGTGAGCCTAAGAACTGTACTTTACATCGCTGTGAGCAAGACATATATCAGATACTTTTGACAATATTGACCCACTTAGTTATGTTGCATTTCATCCTCACTGAAATTTGAAGTTTCCAAATAATTTATTAAGAGTATCTGTTCTACACAAATTGGATCCACGAGGCACCGCCAAACTACTTGGGTACAGTATGTATCCTGGAAGCTCTACAGTATATAATTCTGTTAATAATGCCAATTGTTGTGCATACACCCACCCCCAACAGAAAAACGTCATTCACATCTGCATTAAAAGAGTAATCAGTACTTTCTAAGTTTAATAATCACCTTTAAAATGATAACATTCCTAAATTAAATAGTCTCCCAATTGAAATATGTCATTAATGTTTAACTCGATCAATGTTGAAGAAGGTGAATTGTGAGTTGCCTTCTGAGGTCAACTAAAGGTATGGTATTATGAGACAGCTACCTGACTCCATTACCAAATGAAATGTTCAACAAACTGCCTTGATCCACAGCAATGTATACCAATTATACTCCACTGACCAAACATTAGCTTTGTGAGCGTTCCCCTGTACAGTATAGAAAGTAAGGATGAGAATGGCAAAAGAATATAATAAATGTGCCTTCAGGGCGTTCTGTTCACTTGATTTTTTGGCAAGGATATTATGGTCTAAAGCAGCGGTTCCTAACGGGGGGACAACCCCCTAAGGGGCGTGGTAATTTCAAGGGGCGTGAACCCAGAGCACATATACGGAATGACCTTAAGAGTTGTGTGTCTGTCCTTATTGGGGGGGGGGTCTCCCCACAGATACTTCAAAATGTCGTAAGTGGTAACTACGTCAATCAAAATGTAAAATTCCACTAAAAGTGACTGAATTAAGGTAGTTATAATGTCGGGAAGTGTGCGATAATTTGATGAAGAAACGATAATTTTGAGGCTCCAGGACGATAATTCACATTTATCAACACTGACTGCGACGGTTGCTTATACAGACTCTTTTGAATAATTAAAGTTATTAAAGTTATTAAAGATTTAGAGTTTTATATGAAGGAAGGAGGGAGGGCGGGTGCGTGGAGACGAGGACCAACTGCTATGGGGGTCACAACCCTAAAAAGGTTAAGTACCGCTGCTCTAAAGGATTCTCAACACGTTGGAAGCCTCAAAGTTCTGAAAAACCAACATTATTTATTTACCAGTTTCTTTTGCGTGGTTTAAGGTGCAAAAACTCCTTCATGAGCCACCACCTACCTCCCTCCCTCCTCCCCCTTAAGCGTTAATATCTTCTCTTTACCCTGCCATCACCTCCCATCCAGCACCCACTTGAGAGGTGCACGGTGGTCCAGACTTTACCCAACCCACCGTGACAATCTACCAATCCGTCTTCATCCAATAATTATCCTCTAGCCTTTCCACTTGACGGAAATTACTGAGAAACAAATTATGATTAGGAGAGTTAATAATACAGAAATTATCGTGTATGTATGCCATAAATCGCAGGTGGCAGCTACTTGAAGGAAAGGATTGTCGTCTGTATTATTAATGAAGGCGATTAACATGCCGGGGTTTCTGACCGGCACAAGCTGCACCAATTAGCTGTTCGTGGCCACATATTGTTCTCAGGAAGGAAATGACTATTTATCGCTTTAATTTTAGTCTCCACACAAATCACAAGAGTATTTTCCGAGCAACAAAATATATGTTTTTCGTTATTGAGACGTCAATGTACAGTTAAAAGAATGTTATCTGCTAGTGGATGTAATATCTCTCTCTCTCTCTCTCTCTCTCTCTCTCTCTCTCTCTCTCATTTGTAACGCAAATCGGAATGGTTAAATGGCCAGTCGTTTGTATGAAATCAAGTCCAACCCGGGAACTTTGTGGTGCAAGACCGAAGACTTTTTCCTCAAGCTATATAAAATTCACCATAGGCCAATACTCTGCCATAGCACGAGTGTGGAACTGGGCCTGGGTTTAAACACAAAATATCGTGGAAAATCTACAGGCGGCAGCGTAAATTTTAGTACTACATCTAACAAACTTTCAAATTCCACTATTGGTTGATTTTATGAACTCAGCTGAACCCCCTTCCCGGAGACCATGATTACTAGCAGGGGTGTCTAATCCTCACGTGACCCGACAAAACACATACAGTACCCGGGTTTCAATAGAACAAGTGAACTGTAACTCTGATTATGTTCTTTATGCTGTAGATATATTCTATTGGATGAGTGAGATGAACGAAGGGTAAAACGAATATTAAATGGAGGAGGAGTCAAAGAAAGGGGGAGAGGAGGAGAGAGCACTGTAACCACTTCACCCCTGTGCTCGAGGGAAGAGTAGCTGGAGATAAACAACCACTGACAAATATGTGATGAAGGAGGGGGTGAAATTAGCATCAGAAACATGTGTGTGTGTGTGTGTGTGTGTGTGTGTGTGTGTGTGTGTGTGTGTGTGAATCGAACCAACTGTTCGGCTCTGCCATTTTTATGTATATTCCTACATCTTGAGACCAATCACCGGTCACGACATATAAATAAGAGAAAGAATTATTCTCTCCTCACACGAGCTGTTCCTTCAGTGACGAGAGACTGGCAGAGTGTTTGGACAATGCCCCCCCAATAGTGTCATGAGAACCATTCTTTCTCACGGCGAGGTTGTGCCTGTGACCAGCAGTTGTGTTTGTTACTTTTGGAGACGAATATCAAATGAGTTACTATGTGTCATCTATCAATATTTTCTCTGCTATAGAACTGATCTTTATAAAAATTAAAACATTTTTTTTAGATTATGCAGAACAGTTTTCTCAAATGCTTCCTCCATCCTAAAGAAACAATAATATTAACAGTTCCAGCTGTCTTCAATACCCCTAAAATTAAAAAAAAAATATATATATATATAAATAAATAAAAATTAACATAGCTTAGGAATTGTTCACTTCCTTTCCGTAGAAGCTAAAACATTACTGACTATACACTGAGCATTTTCCTGCAAAAGAAAACAAATATCACAGATTCTGGACTTTGGAGCTGCTCTCTAACGTAAAAATGAATATTGAAGTGAGCTACCAGAGGGAAGTGGTGATGGTGAGGGAGGCTGGAGGTTTATGGTGAGGCTGGAGGGAGGGTGAAGGGTGGAAGCTATGAGAGAATGGTAGGGGCGGGCCTGCCAACTTCCTCTTAAGTCTGTCTTTCTGACAGGTGCTTATATCTTGTGGAGAGTCTATGGCCATTTTTAGGAGTGCGGCTGCCACGTAGATACTGAACTCACCACCTGTCCTTACGGTCGTTGCTTCGCGCCCTGGGCACCACTAGTTCACTCAGGCTGTGAATAGGTACCTAACGTTACTGATGATGGAATGAAAGTGGTCGAGTACAGTGCAGGCCACACTGACATCTTATATTCCCCAAAAAGAAACGTAATCTACTGGACGCTGTACCCACGAAGCCCTACGGCACCCAGTTTCATGACCATGTTCGTTAGTAGGGTATACAGGTATTATGGAAACACACGCACACACACACACACACACACTAAAATAAATCTTCACTAAACTTAATCATTCACATTTTCCCAAGTAGCAGATTAAGCGACGCCCTTTCCCCAACTACACACCCTCAGTAACACACTTCCTAACAGTTCAGACAAAGCAGAGACGTGAATGTTTAATATATAGTCCTTTTGATGTTTTAAACTGTATATCCATTTAAATGTGTATTATTTTATGCAATTACCTGTCTATCTTCAACAAGTGGTGGGAAGTAATTTTTCGCTAATTCCCAGGGCGTCACACCAGAGTAGTGAGAAGGATATTAAGCCATTAAAAGTAGGCGAGACTCACACGCCTCGCCACACATGCCACCTACATTCCTTGCTCGCCTCGCCACACACGCTTGCTCGCCTCTCCTCGCCATGCATACCACCCACTTCTCGACCTACACCTATTGTACCCTGTTATGCTCACGTCTACGACCGCTGTATGCTGCGACACACACACATATGCTCTCTTCCCCACCTAAATCCCTTACACGCAACACAACGCAAACCAACCAGACATCATGTTAGCTATATACACACACACACACACACACACATTTATATGCTCCCCAATGTGTGAATATATTGAATAATTTTGCGTTATATTACCAATTTATAACTATATTATATCTGTTTTATGGATGGTAGTGTGGTGACAGTAGGTATTGTTGCTTCAGTAATAACATTTACTGTCCGAGTTTTACACAGGAGCTGCCTCAGTTGACAGTAATAGTATAGAACCGAACCTAACCTAACCTCACCTAATATAACCTAACATATCGGGAAATTAACTTCTACTGTTAATACTTGATATAAGCTCGTCTTAACCTCACTCACACTATACTAAAAATCACTTTTAATCTTAACTATGCATCATAATAATACACTAACAGGTGAATTATCAGTTTAAAGGTTCAGGAAACAATTACAACTTCCAAGATCCTTTTCTGAGACGTCCATCAGAGTGGCCTGACAGACTGGAGGCTCACCCGGACTCATCACCCGGGTGGGACTGTAACTAATATATACGATATATCCTATACACATTTGCTGACCCTGGCTTAACCGCCTGAGTGGGACTTACTACTAACACTTGATGATCATGGAAAGCGAGGACTGGTGACATCCGAAGGGTGAGTGGATGACGCCAAGGACCAGGACTAGGAGTGTTGAGTCACTTAAATACTGTTTCTGAGGTACACAGTGCTTTGGGTGTGTGTGTGTGGGGGGGGGGGGTCATAAATCTGAGTGTTTGCGAGTGTACTTTCATGTCTTGTGTTGTTTCCGTTTATATTTATCTATTGTCTTTCGGGTCTTGGCCATGATTCATAAACTGACTGAAATAGTCATATCGCTGGTGTCTCCGCTCCCTCCAGGCAGACACACCAGGCAGACACACACCGCTCCTCCAGGCAGACACACACCAGGAAGATGGATCCGCTCCATAGACACACACCGGGAGAAGATGGATCCAGGCAGACACACACCAGGAGAAGATGGATCCGCTCCATATATCCAACTAGTTCAGGGAAGACGACAGCAATAACATATAACGTGCTCGCTCTCTGTGACACGA